CAGCAGCTGCATCTGACTGAAAGCAGCCGCTGTTCCTCCAAACATTTTCCAGTGAGCTCCTTCAACAAAAGTCAATTGAACAGTCGACTTTTGTGGAACATGGCAGGGCCACCCACTGATTGAATTTTGGCTGGTTCATCAGGAACCAGTGTTTCTGACCAGCTTTAGTCAGAGTCTGGAGGCTGTGAACACTGACAAAACATATGGTAAGTGCTGGGGTTAACTTTGTAGCCTCTAAATTCAGCATTGGCATGAGCGATCCCAAAACACTGACTATAGATCACTTTGGTATTAAGGTCTTACTGGTTTTGTAGATTGTAGAGTATATTGTGCAATAATGAATATTTTATAATTTTTTTTTCTGCTGTAGTGAAAAGAAAAAAAAAGTTCAAAAGCTGAGCCTACAAAAGGTGTAGTAACTAAAGTAACGGGAAAGAAGATAACCAAAATAATTGGTCTAGGGAAGAAGAAGCCCAGTACAGATGAGCAGACGTCATCGGCGGAAGAGGACGTCCCAACTTGTGGTGAGTCCTTCGATAGAAATCGGAATCAAAAGCCTCTTTATTGGTTCATTTCAATATGCATAGGAGAGGTCTAAATTAAAGTTCCAGTTGAATGACTTATTGCAGCATCTTGGACCCCATTCTTTCCCGCTCTAACCTTTCCTGTATTTTGAGAGAACCCTTAACCTACAAAAGTATTTTGGCATATTGCCTCCCAATGATCTCAAAGCAGAGAGGAAACCAGCAACATATTTTACATGCCTTGTTCAGGACATCTAGAGTATTTGTAAATCTAATCATTAAAATCCCCCATAACAGATGAATGTAATCTTGAAATATGTAGCTTTCAATCCAAACCCCACCGGTAGCAGGCGCCCCCACCATGTATCCTGGGCTGCGAGTGCCCATCAGTGCATCGGGGGCAGGCATGGTGGGTGCCACCGGGTAGAGCGGACATGTGTCTGCTCTCCTCTTCTTCTTGCTGACCTGGAAGCGATATGTAAAACATCACATCCGGGATCCCCTTTTACTTTCCTCAGCCAACTTGCAGTTTGATATTTATTGGGACACAAGTGAGCCATCCAGGGTCTTTTGTACCCCAGATGTCTCATTAAGGGTCCATGCACATTTGGTAGCTGAAAAAATGCCAGAAAAAGCAGCATAAAAATTCTCATAGTCGTTTGTACTGCACAAGAGTTTGAGAGTTGAGCATTTGCTGTTATAAGCAATTTTTTGCAAAACATTCCCCTCTGCTCATTTTCACTATATTCAGTGTACACTTGAAAACACTGAACATTCCTAAACACCACGTTTATGCTTGTCAAGGATTTTTTTTCTGCCCGAAAGCTCTTTTGAAAAATCCCATTCTCTTGTTTTTTGGGGTTTTTTTTTTTCTCTGGCTGAAAATGCTTCTCTGCGAAAATGCCTGTAAACTCTCTAATGTGCATGGACACATAGATCAACAAAGAGCTGCTTATACAGGCTGAAGAAAACAACTCCAAAAGCCTGTATAAGCAGCACTTTTTATGCCCAGTGTACATGGACCCTTAAGAGAACCTGTTACCAAAAAAAATCACAAATGATATGATGAAAAAAAAGTTAAGTTAAAAAAAAAACATTTTGAGGCCTGGAATATTGTAACTGCGTGTTTTTGTGGCATTGGCGCAGTAAAGGCTTCTTTCTGGTATCTCTATTTATACACCGACACAATTTACAATTTAAAAAGCCACAGATGTAGGAAATTAACCTTTAATTGCCATTTTAACCCGTGTGTGTTACCCTGTGTGTCTCTTCCAAGGCCAAACATTCCAGGGGATGGAAAGTTTTGATCATTATGTTTTAAAAAGGAGCCAAACAACTATGCGATAATGAATAGTTTCATATGAGCACTATCCTTAACCACTTTCTTACCGCACTATAGCCGAAAGACAGCTATAGCGCAACTCCGTTGTGCCGGGAGGGCGTCCTCCCAGAACCACGCCCCCCGCATGACCCCTGTGGCATGCTCCTGGCTCACTGTGTGATTGCTGTGTCCTTTGGACACAACTGATCACATATGGCAGTAAATGGCCAATCACAGCGCCCCTTTATCATGGGATAAGCTATGTCCAATCACAGCTGATCACAATGTAAACACACTTGCCAGTTATCAGCAGTACTTTCCTCACACGCTGTCACAGCAGCAGAAGAGCAGAGCCGGTAACCGGCAAGTGTGACAGGGGCATGTACACAGATAATCGGGGCACTGATTATTAGTGCCTTGATTATAAGTGCAGCCCCATCAGTGCCATCTATATGTGCCCATTAGTGCCGTCTATCAGTGCCCCCTATCAGTGTTTATCAGTGCCCATTAGTGCAGCCCCATCAGCACACATCAGCAAAGGAGAAAAATTACCTGTTTGCAAAATTGAATAACAGAAACTAAGAAAAACTTTTTTTTTCACAAATTTCGGTCTTTTTCTATTTGTTTAGCACAAAAAAAAACCCCAGTGGTGATTAAATACCACCAAAAGATAGCTCTATCTGTCTCAAAAAAATGATAAAAATTTCATATGGGTACAGTGTTGCATGACCGCGCAATTGTTATTCAAAGTGCAACAGCGCTGAAAGCTAAAAATTGGCCTGGGCACCAAGGGGGTAAAAGTGCCCAGTATTGAGGTTGTTAAATAAAAGTTTTTTTTAATTATTATTTTCAATATCAATTTATCAAAATTTTATGATTTATGCCAGGGTATGCAATATTTTTTTAGCACAACTGTATAGGGGGCTTTTAAAGCATTGGCTTTGGAAAATATAGGGTGCTGAAGTTTGTTGCCATTTCCTGGGTGCATGCAAATTTAAGGTTTGACATATTGAGTATCTCTTTACTTGGTGTAACCTCGTCTTTTATATTTTACCAAAAATTGTAAAATGTATATTATTTGTGTGCCCTAAAATTAACATTAGTGTGTTTTTTACTGAAAATTTTCATTTCCTAGTCATTTACAATATTACCATGTAATATAGCTTTTCTTTATCTATCCTATGAGTGCCTGTTGCTATGGGGTTTATTTACTAAAGCTGGAGAGTCCAAAATTAGACTCCCTTCTGCATAGAAACCAATCAGCTTCTAACCTCAGCTTGTTCAATGAAGCTTTGGCAATGAAACCTGGAAGCTGATTGGTTTCTATGCAGAAGGGAGTCTGATTTTGGACTCTCCAGCTTTAGTAAATAAACCCCTATGTGTCCAGTAGACACTCTCTGCACTTCTTATATGATGTAGGAAGAAAGATCTGATTCTCAAAAATTTTAGTCCAGTTAATAGCTTCTTTCCCAAAATAGATCTGCAGAGGTTTCCAAATACTGCCTAGATATATATAGTGTGTGTGTAAATATGTATGTGTGTATATATATATATATATGTATATATATATATATATATATATATATATATATATATATATATATATATATACACACACCCCTGTCTTCTGCATATGGGCAATAAAGGTAATTGACTTTTTTTTTTAATAAATACTGTTGTTTCATTACAGGATATCTAAATGTCCTAAGCAACAACCGCTGGAGAGAACGCTGGTGTCGGGTGAAGGACCACAAACTCATATTCCACAAGGACAGGACTGACCTGAAAACACACATAGTCTCCATACCTCTTCGAGGGTGCGAAGTCAACACCGGTCTTGACTCTAAACACCCACTGACATTCCGACTTCTGCGGAATGGGCAAGAGGTGGCTGTGCTGGAGGTGAGCACCTCCATGGTTGTTGAAGGGTGCTTCAAGTTAAATCCTTTTTCAGTTACTTCATGTATTAACTCTTAGAGCCTTTGACACTCCTAGTATCTAAATAAAAGAAAACCATCAAACAAGCTTTGTGATGTAAGCCAAGGAAAGATTTTATTTTTAACTGTCACAATTTTTTATGAGCTTTTATGCACAGGAACACGAGAGCACACTGTTCCTCCATTATGAAAGCAACAGGCCTTCATACCCAAACTATCAATACCCAGGGTTCCCTCTGACACCATACTACAACCCTTCACTGAGGTCAGCAGCACTACACAGCTCCTCTAGGGTTGTTCTCTGTCTGTTGGAGTGGAGATAACTCTGAGAACATATGTGATATTCACCAACAGATGGTGCTGGGAAAGGATACAGACTTCAAGCTAAATAAACTATGGGACTGGTTTACTAAAGGCAAATAGACTGTTTACGTTGTAAGGGAATTTGTCCCAGAGCTTAGTGAATATGGTGAAATTTTACTTTGTAAAGAATGCCCAACCACATGCATGGAAAATAAAAAGACATTTTTGCTTGCACTTGAGCAGCAGAACTTCACCTCATTCACTAAGCTATGGGAAATTTTCCTTGCAAAGTGTGACTTACCTTGCAAAGTGAACTGCTTTTAGTAAATCAACTCCTATATGTCCATTCCCTTCAGGTGCTACAGCAGGCGCAAAGAACTGGCCTGCCACAACAAGCAGCTAGAAAAGTGTGTAAACTGCAGTGCCTACTGGCAGGAGGTCTGGCATTTCTAGCATTTACTAGAAGGTTTGGCTTGGCTATCTACACTTGTCTGCTTAGATGTTCTTGGCAGGGCTCAGTTATGTACACAAATTTGGCTTGGTGTGCTTTTTTTCGTCTTTACACCTGGACTGCTTTTACTCTTTGGCTTTGAAAAACTAAGTATCCTATGGCTTCACGGTGGGGAAGTGCCAAAGGCAGATTAAAAAATTGCAAAATTTAGCCATTAAAGAAAAAGGCAAACTGCTAGGTTTTTAAGGACAGACCAGGGACCTCAAAAGGCTTTTGTAGGAGATGCTGTAATCCTGGTTTACTTTTGTAGGAGCATAATTTATTGGTTTTCAACTGTAGTGCTTAATGAGATACAAATTATAACAAAAGACCTTTGTTGCTGAGTAATTAATTGTCATATTTGTGTTATAAACTTATTTTCTTTACTTTCTTTTCTGGTGCTTTAGGCGACTTCTTCAGAAGATATGGGCCGGTGGATAGGAATATTATTGGCTGAAACTGGTTCTTCTACGGACCCCGGAGCCCTGCACTATGACTACATTGATGTGGACACCACTGCCAATGTCATACAAACTGCCAAGCAGTCTTTCTGGTAAATTGATGTATTACATGATAAAGGTACCCATAGATGTGGGATGATCATCAAGTTCTGTCCATTTAAGCCAGGTTAGGCAATAGTCACTAGGATTCATCCTCGTGGTTTCTGGCAAGTCATGTTTTCCTCCTCTGATAAACTTGCATCAATTGCATTTACCTACTCTGAGCTTGTAAGTGATGTTACAATAATAGATGTTGGTCCTTTGGAATAAAGATTTACAGTATTTAGATCAGCGGTTCTTCCACATATTGGTTGCAGACTTGCCTGTCACTTTCTGTTACTTAACATTCGCTGGCTCAACATTTGCCAGTCTGTAAAATTGTGGAACATTACCAGTAATCATAAGCAGATCTGGGTGATTTAATGAAGAAGAATGTTCTTGGAATCCCCTAGGCTTTATAAATTAGCCCTTTGTCTCTGAGCAACCTGGGGCTTTATTAGAAGTCATGGATGTGAAACATTCACTTGTGAATGTATCTAACAATGATTGTGCAATGCCAGGAGTGAACTGGAAGAATATAGGAAATAATAACACTATTCCCTTAAACAGATGGAGCAGTGTATAGAGAGTGAAAGATCCTGGAGCAGCTCAGTGCTGCCCTCTATATAAAACATTTGTGGGGGCACCCTCCTCAGGGAGCTGACCCATGATGCCCTGCATTCACAGTATGCCCTCAGTCTTCCAGGCTGAAAGCAGGGCATCATGGTCCAACCCCCCAAGGAGGTGTAACCACCGTGCACAGTGAATTTCATTCAGCATTGAAGACTGAGGAAAATAAGGGCTTCGGGGTACAACTCTAGTTTTAAATTGAGCAATGCAACTAAAACTGCATTTTGTTTTTGTTTTTTTTTGGTTTTTGACCAGTTGGGGGACAATGGCAAAAAAGGCCACTGGTTTTGATTTAAGGGTGAACACCATATACTGTAGCTGTGCATTTCTTTTAAATGGTTAAAGTATTAGTTCACCTTTGCAGCAAAAATGAAAAGGTGAACTAACACCTTACCCACACCCAGGTCCCCGCTGTACCGACCTCCAGCGACTCTGAGCCATCAGTGCCCATACAGCCGGTCCAGTGGTCTGGGTTAGAAATCCCCACTCCTCTCCCTCTTCTATGTGCAGTGCTTCCAGGATGGACTGGAGAAATCCTGATTGGTCAGCACCTGAACACTGAATCTCTCTGGCCCACCCCAAAAGCGCTGCACAGAGAAGAGAGAGAAGAGTGGTGATTTCAAATCCCTGGACCGGCTGCATGGGCACTAATAACTCAGCATCTCCAATAGATGCTGTAAGAAGAGCGGAGACTTCAGTAACCATAGTACATGTACATGTCAGTGAATGAAGAAATGAGAGGCATAAAGCATATTGGTAAGATATCTTAAAGTTGATCTTGTTGGACAGAAATTATGATGCTTTTTAATTGTTCAGCCAGAAAATTGGGCAATCTGCCTGGCTGTGCAGTGTGGCAGAGATGTGTAAATCACTAGAGAGCTGAACTGAATTACAAATTCAGATTTGCGAATAAAACAGTAAATATTTGTCAAGTAAATGACTTTTCTATGTCCTAGCAGAGCTTTTGGAGTCACCTCTCTGCTAGCAGCTTACTAATTGTACAGTGATATGACATTTGTCCAGTGAGCAGACAGGTGACACAGGAAATAATAGTCTTTCTCTGGCTATGTAGTATGGCAGGTAAAATACGTACGTAAAGCGGCAGTAAACTAGTTTCTGGTACTTTTACCTGCAGGGAAGCTTATAATGAAGCTCACATGTAGGTAAAATTAATATTTCCTAAATGTGCTCCGTTTAGGAGATAATCCAGTGAGCAGCAGCTGGTGACGTCACCGGTGCATGTGCTCTGAAGGGAATGCATATTCATGCGGTCCCTTCAGAGTTCAAGCCTGCAAACCTGAAGACCGGGTGAAGGTGGAAGCACTATTAGCGGTGACAGCGTGCTGCTGGAGGGCTTCGTTATAAGGTAAGTCTCTCACAATGAGCTAGTACAGTCAGGTCCATAAATATTGGGAGATCAACACAATTCTAACATTTTTGGCTCTATACACCACCACAATGGATTTGAAATGAAACGAACAAGATGTGCTTTAACTGCAGACTGTCAGCTTTAATGTGAAGGTATTTACATCCAAATCAGGTGAACGGTGTAGGAATTATTGTGTCGATGTCCCAATATTTATGGACCTGACTGTATATGATGCATACTAGCATATTATAACATTGCCTTGCAGAGGGGAAATCTTCTTCTTTTTTTTTTTTTTTCACGTTACTACCGCTTTAAAGTGTTTGTTCGCTTGCTTGCATAAAGTTTCACTTTATGAAAAACAAAGATAACCATGTGGATGGAAAGAAA